ATCTGAATTAATTATACACATATTAAAATGATTCATTCAATCTCTATCTTTCAGTGCATGATAACCTGAAATAACTTTGTTTCCGTCCTCTGGCAGTTGAAATCGGTTGTTGCTTCTGAAGTGAATACAAATTGCACAGTTTCAAAGTTTCAGTTATATATAATAGTTTCAAAATAGTATAAAGCAGTCAAAAGTAAATATATGATACTTTAGAGTTGCAAAAGATCCGTCATTCATCTAACATTGATAAGACAATGGTTGTACGTACCTTTCAATCTTGATCACAACTCCTAAAACACGATCATTAAAATGTGATAAAATGAAGCTTTACATATAGCTTACCAGTATATTTTTACGTTTGCTTGATTTGTCTTTAAAAAAATGCAGTAAAGGACCGGTATATATAAATTTTTGATTAAGTCAATTTTTATTTTAAAAATATAAGACAAAGGAATGACTGTTCATAAAAAATAACTTTAGAATTGAAATTAAATATAAAAAATGCTACCAAATATTGTCAGTTCTCCTCTTCTGTAGATAACTATTACAAGAGCAATTACTGTGATTATAATTAAACATAGAAAGAAGGATAAAACAGCTACAGAAGTAGTACTATCCGTTTCAGATGGCTTTGTGTGTTGAGCTGTTTGATGAGCTGGAATCAAAGAGAGAAGATGCTTTATGTTTATGAAAGCTTGAAGTATTTGAATGAATAACAGTAATATTTTAAAAATTTATACCTTCCTTACCTCATTCAAAATTATTTCTTTATTATTATAAAGTTAATTAAAAAGTTAAAAGTTATACATATTTACCATTTATCCGAATTGTAAGACTTGTAAAATTTACTCCTGATCCACAGGGACTGGAAGAGGAGGTAGAAACCTCACAGATAAAATGAAGAACCTTGTCGTACTCCGTTATATGGTAGATAATTCGACTGAACATCATCATTTCTCCACTTTTATTTGTTGAAAGCTTGACTTCGTCTTCTTGTGTGACAACATTTGTCCAGTTATCATTCTCTCTCTTTTTGACGCACCAGTTTATCATCTACGAGATAAAAGATGCATGAGGAAAGAAATAAAATATGAAAAGACATTCAAATTTATAAATAAAGCTTATCTTAGCTAAATCCACAATCTCATTTGGTTTTGAGCCCGCGTGGCGCAGTGATTAGAGCGTCTGCTCTAGAGTCGCGAAGTAAGGAGTCAATCCTTACGTCGCGCGTTCGAATCCCACTGCGGGACGTGGAGACCGGTCCATCGGATGAGTACGTATATGTAAACCGAAGTCCGGAGTAGCAGTAGGTGCTGGCACGAAAAAGCTCCCTTATTGCTCAAAGGCCCTGAGTGTCGAGCATAGGACAAAATTTGTAGACCTCTACCGGCAAGTGGTGGCGTCTCCATATGAGTGAAAAATTCACGAGCGGGACGTTAAACAACATACAATCAATCAATCATTTGGTTTTGATGTACATGGGGGTTTGGAATTCATAAGGGGGTACAACTAATGATGAAAATGTAAAATTAAAAAAAAAATTAACTACCCTTGTATCTGTCAAATCTTATTCTACTCTCCATAAAGTTATTTAGTGCAACCATTTACTCAACCATTAAAAATCATATGCCTTTAGTACATCGACAAAGGCTGAAACTTTCTAATGCTTTCAAACACTACCGTCCAATTTACTCTCAAAGATACTTGATCAGAGAAAACAAAAGTCAATCAGTTGGTTTGCGTGAGAGTTTTCAATGCACCATTTATAAACCTCAATGAATTTTACCAGGGGTGAACACTGCGGAAAGTAGGTACACAACGCCCGAATCATCGAGAGAGAGTAAGACTTCTAAAGAGTTTTACAAGCTTATAAAATATATATCAAACGGTTTATTTCCTTGTTTTCATTAATGTAATCATAATGTTAATTGTCTATCTAATATATGAATATATCGGTTTCAGTGCATATGCCTTAACAGTTATTCAGGTTGCAGATTGAATAATTGCATAAATGGCGCTTTTACGCGCCAATGTCACCAACATTATTCAAATTCCTCTCTGATGATTAAAAATGCTCTAGAAGAGAAAAAAAAGAAATAAACAATCTAGATACTAAGTAAATATCGAAAACGGTGTGCATAAAGTGATACCGAAAATTGTGTTTGCATAACCTGTCATTAATAATGTGCACGTGGCTTCTGCTTTTACTTCTTTATCTCTTGACGCCATACATTTCAATGTTGTTAATTGTGAACAACGGCTCTAGTGCATATTAACCAGGAAGCACATTTGCCCTTTTTCATAATTTCCGACCACGCAATGAAAAAAAAACAATTCTGTATTTTATTGTTAACTTACAATATATATATATATATGTTATTTTGAAAATGTTGTTCACAACATTTGAAAATTCTCTGAAGGGACGTTAAACAAGAACCAAACACACAAACAAACAATAAATGATAGATTACCTGTTCGTTAGATGTGAATGAGGAAGCACTACACGACAGATGAACTGTTCTACCAAATCCATGAGTGTTGAAATATTGTTCGTCAACAACGCCATTTTTGTCGTACATCAAGATGGGAGATACCTTCCACTGCCCGTCTGGTTTTTAAAATAAATGTTGATAAGACAGTGAACAAAAAAGGAACCATCAATAAATTTAAAATTATTTTTTTTTCACCAGAACCATGATTGTTTATAAAATGATCACCTTCAGTCGAAGTTTTTGTGTTGATGAATATCGTCGAATTTGCACTTCCTTTTCCACATTCACTTGTATATTCGTTGTAGCCCGATTCACACATTATTTCTAGGTATGCATCACTTTGCAAGATGTGGTAAAAGATCTCCGATTGTTGTACATTTATGCATCCATCTTTGCTGCTAGATACTGGTACGATATTTGGAGGGTCTTGTAGAGATATTTCAGTGAATTTTCCAGAAATATTCTTGCACCACCTGATGTTCTTTTAAGAAAGTAAAAATATCCTGTCAAATTTAGATGATGTAATTTGAATCATTTTAACATCACGTGACATTATGCATTTGAGGTGTTCATCATATTTTTACCTTTTATATGCATTAAGAAAATTAGTATTTTGACATTTAGAGAAAGGTTTGTCTCCCGCAAAGAGTGTTGGATATTAATTTCGGTTTATCTATCCGTCTGCCTGTTTGTCTATAATACTGTTTGCCTGTAGTGATTTTGTTTCCATGCGATATCTTGAGAATATTTGAGCTTCTGCAATGAAATTTTACACAGTAACTCCCTATGGCGTAAGGAATATCCCTACTGATGTTGAGGTCAAAGGTGAAATATCTAGGTCGTGTATGTTAATTCATACATTTTGTGCATGCGTGTGTAAACTTTCATTTCCTGGTGAAATCTCAAGAAGCTTTTGAGTTTTTTAATGCCCCCTAAACGAAATTTCGAGGGTATATAGTTTTTGTCGTGTCCGTCCATCCGTCCGTCCGTCTGTCTGTCCGTCTGTTTGTCTGTCTGTCTAGCTCTCTCTCTCTCTCTCTCTCTCTGGCTGTCTGTTTGTCAATAAAAACTTTAACCTTGCCCTTAACTATTGATTAAGTGAAGCTATGACTTTCATATTTCATATGTGTATTCCTTGTGACAAGACATTTCCTTGCGTACCTCCAAATTTGACCTGTTGACCTTGACATTGGAGTTTGACCCACTTTTACACAAAAATTCCAAAATATAACTTTGGCCACATCTTTTGAACAGTAAATATCAGGACTTTTATACTTTATATATGTATTTTTTCTGACAGGACCTTACATTGAGTATCAACAACTTTGACCTTTTGGCTATGACCTTGGAGATTTCCGTACTTATGAAAAAAACTTAAACATTGGTCTATCTTTTGAACGGTAAGGGCTGGGGCTTTCATCCTTCATATATGCAATCCTTATCTTGTGAGAAGACGCTTTATTGGATTTTTATCAAGAACTTTAACCCTTTGACATTGACCTTGGAATTTGACTCATTTTTACACAAAAAATCCAAACTTTTACTTTCACCCTAATTTTTAAACGGTAGATACTTGAGATTTCATAATTTAAATATCAATTTTTTTGTGGCAAGACCATTCATTTGAAAGCAACAATTTTGACCTTTTGACCTTGGAGATTTCCGAACTTACGAAAAAGCTTTAACCTTGGCATTAACATTTGAAAAAGCTTAATTAACCATCGCTATGTTGTCATACGGGGGGAATCTTGTTTTAATTACATTTTATACTATATCTCCCTATGTCCCTCCAGCCCTTCTTAGAATGCTCCATCCCCTCGACCCCAACCCCCTTAACGGGTCTGGACATTCTCTCCTTTTTTCTTAAGAGAGAGACTCAGATTCTCTGAAATAGCTTGTTGTTAATCAATTAAATAAATGATACTATATACCTCTGACAATATAAAGTGTTAAAAAGTATACCGGTAGTTGCAATGTGAATGAATTGAATTAAATCGAGGTAATTAAAAAAAGAAATAATTTTGGTTCCATCATATAATTTCAAATAGTTATTTAGCTATTGAAAGTGGCATTTTGTTTTCATATTCTTCAAGATCGGGTTCGTGCTGCACTATGCCATTTGTTAGTCTCTCAGACACTGAATGTATGAGCTTATGGTAGAAAATGGTTTTAAACGAGATTGTAAAATTATTGGTTTTTTTAACAACGAAAATAAGCTGTGCTGATCACAGCATGTATGTATTCTAATTGCATTCAATCAGGCAGATCGACTTCATTCTATAATAGTTCATTCATAAACTAGTTTTTACCGATTTTTACTAATTTTCATAAACAAGGCCTACAGGAAAAGGGGATTCCGGTAGGGGACATGTATCACTTATGCACTACTCTCAGAATGCTTTTTAAAGATTAGAAAAGAATCAATAAAAAAGAAATAAAAAGGTAAATAGACACTGAAAACAGTGATGAATCTTTTAAAAATCTATAAACAATTTATAAGTTTGAGAACAGAGTGTAAAACAGAGATGACTAGTAATTCGAGAGGTGAAATGAGATGCTGTTCTTTGACAGAAATCACACACTCTGAGAGCACCAAGTATTGATGATATAGACAAAACATTCCCACATTCAATTTTATTTTTCAGAAGAAGACCTATAGGATTTTGGCATGAAAAGAAGAACAAGCCTTTCTATGACCCAATGATAGGTTACATCAACAGATTACTGTTGGACAAAATAGTTAACGAAAAGATGACTTTCAAAACAATTTGTTGATATCCCTGTAACATTAAATTATTTGTAACTAGCCTGACTTGTTTAATAGACGGTACTTAGACCATACTCCTGGGATTCGAATGAGTATTGGGATACCCAAATACATGTATCATAAACAGATGATAAGGAATATCACTCTATAAATACAGACGGTTGATGATGGAAATGCTGTCAACTTGTTGGTCATATAATTTAGATATTATTTGATCGTTATCGAATTAAGTCAGTATAACTTTAAAATGTGAAGTAGATGTAATGAGTGTACGATGATCAAACGATGAGACAGCGATAAGCGACCGTAAACTAAACACAGAAAGGGATATCATGTAATATCTGAAGAAAATAATTCAAAACATGTCTAAATATTTAAATGTTGTCTATAAATTCTATTAAGATTTTCTCTTTTATATATATCGCTGAAATTCGTCTGGGAAAAAAATCATTCAGAAAATAATATTAACCTTTAACTTACTTGGCTAGGTAGACCATTTACACTTTCAACTTCTCCGATGCATTTAAGTTGTACCACATCACCCGGTCTTTCTCCGCTGCTTTTAATAATAGTCAAGTCCTGAATTTTCTTTGGAGATTGCCCTATATCATAAAGATTTTGATTTGAGATAAATGGTGTTCTTTCAAATAGAATTTATTTGCATATATATATGCAAAATACTAAGTTTTTTTTTAAATTTCGGTAAAAAATATGTAGCTGAAAAAGTTAGATTTTTTTTTCTAATTTTTTAATTAATTGTTTATAACTTAAGTTATACATTATACATACTTGAATAGACAGAAGTCGTTTTTGTAGTTTATAAATAGTGGACAATAAAAATAAATTGAATACAGATTGTACTACATGTATTTCCTACATATATAGTATGAAATAAATAATAAACTCGTCTTTATATATTATAACGTTCTATACTCATAAAATCTCACCTTTGGTCGATATAATACTTTTCTCTAAACTTTGGGAAATTTCACTACCGTTAGAGATCGAACATCGGAAGATGGAGTAGAGGTTTGGGTCAATTGAACATCTGCTGAGTGTTAAAGACAATACAATCCTTGCCCTACATGATAAATATGACCCATACGATAACATCTATCATACGAGGATTTGGAATAAATTTCCAAGTTCTGGTCCGTGTTGAGGATGTAGGATCCTGTGACGTTAGTAATTGCAACTTCTTTCCAGTCCTCCTTTGACTTGTTTTGTCGGATTTCCATAGTCATTTCAGGATTAATGTTATAACTATCAATAAATTCATCGTCGTATGCATCGTAGTAGCAGCGAATTGTAACGTTGTTTGCACCGATTGCAGTTGAAGGACTTGTAGACAAGCCCCAATCCCCTATATTCATAAAATTATAGATTTCGAGTAAATGTTCAAAATTAAACACTTTTTCTAAAAAAAAAATTGAAATTTCAGAGGACAAAAATGTTGACATACCTTTACAAAATGGATAGAACAAGAAAAACAAAATCACCACATACATGTGCATAGCTTACTAAAGGAAGTAAAATATTTTACAATGTCCTTGAACTGAACTGATAAAAAATATCTTTGTAAATGTTTAAACTGGTTTTCAACTTAGATTTAAAGATGGCACTGGTTGTTCTAATTATTGAGGATATGCTTCTAAAGCCTGACTCTTTGGATATCAGCAGAAATAAATGTGCTTCTGAAAACTATTGAAGGTTAAGGTTTTCATCAATTTGATTTCATACGTATTTTTTTAATTATTTATAAATTTTTAATTGGGAATCATGTATACGTATGTACACATTCAGTGTCATCGACTAGGTCTTTTATATGAATCATGATGATAGATCAATGATACATTTACGTTTGAGCTTAAAACATAGAATGTTTCAGAACAAATGATAAATAAACTGCTTATGCCCCCCGTAATTAAAGATTCGGGGGTATTACGTTTCTGCCATATCCATCTGTCTGTCTGCCTGCCTGTCTGTCTGTCTGTCTGTCTGTTTGACCGCAAAAACTTTGCTAACGTTTGATTAGTGGAGGAATGACTTTCATATTTCACTTTTGTATTTCTTGTGACAAGAACTTTCTTTGCGTACCACCACATTAGACATTTCGACCTTGACCTTGGGGTTTGACACACTTAAACACAAAAATTTTAAATTCACTTTAAACATAACTTTTTTACGGTAGATACTAGGACTTTTATGCCTCACATATGTATTTTTATTGGTGACAAGACCTTACATTTGATACCAACATTATTGACCTCTTGATCTTGGAGATTTATATACTTCAGAAATCTTTAACCTTGTCCATAACTTTTGAACGGTAAGGCCTTGGGCTTTCATACTTCACATATGTAAATGTCTAATGGTTGTTAATTTTTAAAAACAATATTAAGGACAAATAAAAGTGAGTATAACGGGTTGTAAGGATGATCTAGAAATCAACATTCCAACGGCTCTCCCTCTATCCTCAATGACATTTAGGCCATGTTTTGTGTTTTTAGTTAAATCAGTGCTGAAAAAATGATAATGGTCACAAAAAGATGCTGATTACACAAACATGTGCCACAAAGTACAGATTTATTGGTTTATGCTTCGTCATGGGACATTGGTTTTCCTCAGTGATAACTGATTTTCTTTCGACAATTGATAAGAAGACTTATTAGCTATAATTATATTTTGGAAAATATCATTCCATTCTATCATGTAGTTTTTAAACAAAATACATTTATCAAAGTGAACACTTAGAAATTTTGTTGAGTGTATAGTGGTCGAGATGTTCATACTTCTGTTTGTCTGTTCGTCTGTCTAGATATTAATCCGTCTGTTCGTCTGTTTCGCTTGGGGTACCCATCTCTTATCCGTATCTCCTCTTATACGTTTGAATGAAAATTAAATGATACCTGTACAGAATCTTTCCCAAATACTGGCATTGTGCACCAACTATTTTATTTTTTGATCCAACACATATTAAGATTCCCCATTGCCAAACATGGACATTCCCATTCTTTCTATAATATTGAAAGGTGTCCATTTCTTAACCATAACTCCTCCTATACCACGTTATAAAATTAATGATACTTTCACGGATTCTTTATTACATTGTATACCTTCTATTTTACTTTTTGATTCGAGATTTATTTTGGGTCTTCCAGATCAAAACATGGACTTCAGGATATCATTTAGTGAGCTCATGCTCACAGCATCTCTAGTTTATATTATTTTTTTGGAAAATCTTAACTGGCTAGTTTATACTATTTTTTAAACATCTTAACTGGTTCTATACAGGTCTGAGTTTGAATCAAGCATTTTCAAAACTTTATCTCTTCTCTTTAATTTATTTTATATCAAATAACATTGGACAATTAACTAATTATAACGTAGCAAAATAAATTAATACCGTATAATTTATCTGAGAACCATACACAAGCAATATAAGGTAAAAAAATATGCATTATTCACGATTTACATTTTAAACGAGGAAATTATTTTGATAAGCGTTAATCATAAAAACAGTTCTAGCTTTGTGAACACTGAATAATTTTTAACCAAGTGGATTCTAGTACTGAAAAACTTCCTTATTGTGGAATATACTTTATAACTCAATTTACATATATTCTCTAAGAGACATTCACTGTTCTCTCTCTCCTTCTCATTCAATCTATCTCCCTCTCTCTCTTTCTCTAAAATGTAAAAAATAAATATCTTTTAATCAAAACAAAAATCTACGTTCAATAAGCGAACATATTAACTTCCCCCTTTTTTTACATGTATTATCCGTGTCCATTTCAAATGGAATATTATACAAAGGTCCTTAATTAAACAAATAATACGTGTCTTATAATTTTTTTTGTCATGAAATGGTCATGGGTATCTAGCAAATGGCAACCAAACATGTTTTATGGGGTATACATGTATATATATCATTAATTACTTTAATCGTCCCTTAAATATAGGTTAGGTCGTATAGGGAAAGTCATTTCCTAGGAGCTTGCGTTGTAAATTGCATGCACTGATACACCATTCCGACTTAAATCGAATTAATTTATCTTAACTATAGAATGAATCTACTCTAAATGTATCTGGAAAAATTGAAAGAATGCTTCCGGTTGATTAGCAACCAAGATATGTCATCTGTGTAAGTTCAAACACCACCCATAGCTACGAAAAACTTAACCTGCTCCAAAATACCACTCTTTCGGTTATTAATCTGAAAAATATAGGCCTTAATTATCTTCTTCATCAAGTTTTACAGTTTTCATTACATCCTTTAAAGTATCATTCATGTTAATTATCAAACGGCTTAAATTAAAATTTCGCGAAATGGCCTGTCCTACAATCATAGCCCTTATCCATGTTATCTATCATCTAGAAATTGTAGATATGGAGCGAGACTAGTAGTGTAAATCCCAAGAAACGTCATTCAGGTAAATTGATGAAAAACAGAGCTTAAAATTACCTACCAATGGTCCTGCCAAAACTTTTAGATCTGGAGGTTTATATCTCTAGCATCTAAATAATGTTAATACGTCGGGTTATAAAAAAGATTTGGACAGATTTAATAGTATCTAGAATGATAAAATAAATATTGAACAAAAACCAGAAAAATTCAAAGAAATGTTGAAAACTAGCTTGAAAGATTGAAAAATTGCAAATTACCATTAAATACAAAATCCTTTATATGATCATCTGTTGTCAATGCCTTTGAGTTTGACATAAATAGTGGCCACCTTGCAAAAAATGTGTTATTACAACGAATGCGTCATTGTTTCTTCATACCCCTTTTCCTTAAGGCTAAATACATTTCTTTAGCCCGGCTCATTGCTCGTAGAGCAATGACCGGCTTTTGCTACGGTGTTCAGCAGGAAATGCTCATCATCACCGCTTAATCAAATTTCCGCGTTAGAATATAGTACGTTTTCACAATCAACTTTGAGGCAATACAACACTGAATTAAATTTTCAAAGTTATCTGAAATTGTCAAAAAATAATTATAATAATATACTTTCTACCGTCTTCTTCGTTTAATTATTTGTTTAAAATATGCGAAATGTTTTCATCAGGTATCCATGTCTGCGTCATATTCTATAAATAAATGTTGTACTATCAGGCTAACACAATTGCGGGGAACATCTTTAAAGACTTGATGTACGCTTTGATGCAATCTCCCCGCTGAGGACACATCAATGCATAATCGTTTGTCCTTAATCAATCTTGCTGCATCAGTGTTTATTTACTTCTGTTGGTATATAAAACCCGGAAACGATACAAGTGATAAATATTTTACGCTGTTAAATTCTAGCTATATTTTATCTAACTTTAAAACTTTTTAATACTATATATGCCATAGAGATATTTTTGTGTGTAACATATCCTCTAAATGTATGAATTTGTTTTTAAACTGTCATCGTGGTCTTTGTTCGGTACCCTGTGAATGAGCCACCAGGCTGAAGCTAGCAGCCAATAACAGCAGCCACTAAGTGCGTAGAAGCTAGCAGCCAATAAGGAAATTCATCAAAGAACTGAGAGTACTCAGACGCAGTACTGTTTTTAATACTTTATTTTAGATAATTAATGGTTAATGATTAGAAAATTAATGCAACAATTAATTACATAATAAATCAGATACTCAGAGGCAGTAAGGCTCACCTGAACAAAAAAATTATTCTTTTTAAAACTGAAAAATAAGAAATAAATTACTTTATCATCTTTATCCAATTGAACAAACAAGCACTAAGAAATGGTTAACTCCTTCAGGAAGAATCCCTTTTCAACTCCTTCAGGGACCTTAAGATTATGTCAGGGCCAATTAGCTAACCTGAAATTTGATTAATATAATGATTGTAAACCGAAATACCGGTATGGCACAAGTGTAAACTATGTTGAAGTATGTTTCGAACATTATTACTGGGACAACTTAATGAATCTATAAGACTATAAATTACCACTATCAGTAATAAGTGGTGGTGGTGCCACCAAGTGGTTCCAAAAGCATTTTTGATATTACAGGCAGGTATTATACCCATGATTTATAAAGTGATCAACATTACTAGGGCAAGATAGAAGGGCCCAAGGATTATTATTTCCTGCTATCAGAAGGGGCTTTAGCGGTACCACCAGGTGATGCCAAGTGCAGGGGCATATTTCAAGCAATCATTCGTCATCAATTATTGGACACTTGAACTAACTAACTTTCACTGGGGAAGAGTTAAGGGTCTTAGGAAGAATCCCTTGTCAACGTTTCAAGAGGTCCCAGGGACCGGAAAGGGCCAGTTATCTACTCTGAACTTTGGCTGTTTTGCATTATATACCAAAAACGCCATTAAAGATCAGCTATTAAAAGCCTTATCTTTGAAGTGATCACCAAATGATTAATAGGGCAAGGTAGAGGGGCCCTTGGGCTATCATTTTCCACTTTCAGAATAGGGCTCTAGTGGCACTACCAAGTAGAATGGGGCTGTAGTGGCACCACTTGGTGGTGCCAAGTGCCTGGGGCATATTTCCAGCATTCATATTTTAT